ACCTCCTGCGCAACGGCGAGGTCACGACATTCCCAGCCCTCCTCCGCCGCGTCCTCGACGACGTCCGACAGGACACCCTCAACCCACCCGCACCGTCGACCGCGTCTCCGCCAACATCCAAGACTAACGGCACAACGGACAAGGACAAGAAGACTAACGGCGCGTCTTCCACCCCAACACCCGCCGCAGGCACGGCAGCGTCCGCCGCGGACCCCAACAACCCGCCCAGCCTCGCCATCCCGGCCGCTGTCGTCGAGGAAGCTATCAAGGTGACACGCGATAGTTTAGAGGCAGTATGTGAAATCGATAACGCGGGCGGGAGCTAGAGGATGCGAAGCGATGAAGAGCAAACAGCGATACGGGCGGCGCGTGAGAAGAGTAGCGGGAGTGACGCTTCCGAGAAATAATGAAATGAACGACCTACCATGGTGTTATGGGCGGCCGTGCTACAGGAGACGAGACCAGGCCGAGTTTGAGCGAATAACTCGGTGGTTTAACGAAAAGCCTTTCATATCAACTTCAAGTCGATGCTGGGGGGCGGCATCGCATACGTGTATAAAATTGGATTCGGACAGTTCATTGGGGTTCGGCTTCTACCTTACAAGAAGGTAGGAGCGCATACGATATCAAGTTTTTAGACAGCCAGCCAAGCAATGATCAACCGTAGGCTGAAATAGCTTTTATTCAGACTATACCTTGCGAATTCGTCGTCTAAGCTTGTTCCGACCGTGTGGTTTCCCAATTTGCATGGCTTGTTCCAACTGGGCTGTGTCACCCTTCACTATACACATCGGCAACGCAAGAGTCTGTGGTCCACTTGTAAGTTATCAACTTTGCATGAGACTACCTGTCTACCAACTCCATCCGCCTCCAGATCTCCACCTTCGTTGGATTTCTGTGACCCGGTTCATCATCTGGTGATTCGATGATGTAGATGTATCGGAGAGCGCATAAAAAACTAAAATACAAGGCCGGCCAGCATTAAGTGGCAATCTATCCTAGCCCACCCTTTAGTCGTAAAGGTCATCATCGTTACCAGCATCACCGAAGTTGTTGGCAGCCTGGTTGGCAGCCGCATCACCCTCGGGGAACTTGAAGTACGCGCCAGGGCCAGCGTTCTTCATCTGCTGGGCGAAAGCCTCGTACCGGCGGATCTCAACGTCGCTGACAGAGCGACGAGCCATCTGCATAGCCTCCTCGAAGTGACGCTTGGTAAGCTCGGGGACAGGGTCCTCCTCGTCCTCATCCATGGCCTCCTCGCCAGCAGCCTCGCGCGCCTTGGTCTTCTGGATGTCGGCGGTGATAGCCTCCTTGATGGCAAGCTTGACAGCACGCTGGGTAATGAAGCCCAAATCGGCACCGGAGAAGCCATGGGTCTTGGAGGCGATGAAGTCGAGGTCGACATCGCCGGCGACAGGGGTCTTGCGAAGCTGGGCCTTCAGGATACCAGCACGGGCGGGCTGGTCAGGCAGAGGGACATAGATGAGGGAGTCCAAACGACCGGGACGGCACAGAGCAGGGTCAAGCTGCTCAGGTCTGTTGGTAGCACCAATGACGAAGACGTTCTTCTTTGAGGTCATACCGTCCATCTCTGTGGCGAAGTTAGCATCATTCAGACTGAAGATCTGTTTTCAGCACTTACCAGTCAGAAGCTGGTTGACGACACGGTCAGAAGCACCGCCAGCGTCACCAACGGATCCACCACGAGCCTTGGCAATGGAATCCAACTCATCGAGGAAGACGATGCAGGGCGCAGCGGCACGGGCCTTGTCGAAGATGTCGCGGATGTTGCTCTCAGACTCACCGAACCACATGCTGAGAAGCTCGGGTCCCTTGACGGAGATGAAGTTGGCAGCGCACTCGTTGGCGACAGCCTTGGCCAACATCGTCTTACCAGTACCGGGGGGTCCGTAGAACAGGACACCACGAGACGGTGAGAGACCGAACTTGAGGAACTTCTCGGGGTGGTCGACAGGGTACTGGACGCTCTCCTGCAACTCGGCCTTGACGGTCTCGAGACCACCAATGTCCTCCCAGCGAACGTTGGGAACCTCGACAACAGCGACCTCGCGCAGGGCAGAGGGGTTGGAGACGCCGAGGGCGAAGCGGAAGTTCTCCATGGTAACACCGAGAGAGTCAAGGACCTCGGCGTCGATGGTGTCCTCGTCGAGATCGATGAGGTCCATCTTCTCACGAATCTGCTGCATGGCAGCCTCAGAGCAGAGGGCAGCAACATCAGAACCGACGTAACCGTGGGTTTCGGCGGCAATCTGCTCCAGGTCGACATCGTCGCCGAGCTTCATGTTCTTGGTGTGAATCTGAAGAATCTCAAGACGGCCAGTAGGGTCGGGGATGCCGATATCGACCTCACGGTCGAAACGGCCGAAACGACGCAGAGCGGGATCGATAGAGTTGGGACGGTTGGTGGCAGCCATAACGACAACGTTGGAGCGAGCCTTCATGCCGTCCATGAGGGTGAGCAACTGAGAAACGACACGACGCTCGACCTCACCGTTGGTCTTCTCACGCTTGGGCGCGATGGAGTCGATTTCGTCGATGAAGATAATGGCGGGAGAGTTCTTCTCGGCCTCCTCAAACGCCTTGCGAAGGTTGGACTCGGACTCACCGGCCATCTTGGACATGATCTCGGGACCGTTGATCAGGAAGAAGAAAGCGCCGGTCTCGTTGGCAACAGCTCTCGCCATCAGAGTCTTACCGGTACCAGGGGGTCCGTAGAGAAGCACACCGCGAGGGGGCTTAATACCGATAGACTTGAAGAGCTGAGGATGGCGCAGGGGAAGCTCGACCATCTCACGGATCTGGGCCATCTGCTTTCTGCAACCACCAATGTCGTCGTAGCCGACCTCGTTCAGGTTGTTCTCCTCCTCATCGCGCTGGATGGGCTCGCCCTCGCAGTGAATAACCGTATCCTGGGCCACAATGCCGTATTCGGGGGGGTCGACCTCGACGACCTTGAACTCTACTTGCCTCATACCACCGCGGACGATGAAGAGATCGCCCTGGCGGACTGGTCTGTAGGCCTCGCGGAAGTAGGGGGCGAGGAAAACGTCGAAGAGGGATCCGGTAATACCCTCGACAGTGTCAGCGATGGGCAGGACGGCAATGCGCTTGGCCTGTGAAAGAGTCAGTATCCCGCTCCAATGCGAGGGTGTATAAAAGTAGGACGCACGTATTTGATGTCGGGGCAAGGGTGGATCGTAATCATGTCACCATGCTTCACGCGCAGGTTGTGGCGAACGACACGGTTGATGCGGGCACTGCCGTCATCGAGCTCATCGTCGGCGAGGACGATGAGAACGGTGTCCTTCCTCTTCTTGCCGCGCACAAGCACGGTGTCACCACGGAAGAGCTGGAGAGCCTCCATGGTGTTCTCGGACAGAGCGATGATGGAGTTGTCATCGTTCACAGCATCGGTAACCCTGCTCCACAGTCAGTGCTCTGAACGTTACCCCACGCCACCAAGAGCTCACGTACATCAACTGGTTGGGCTTCTTCTTCTTCTTCAGAATGGCGGTCGCGGTATCATCTTGCTGTTTTTGGTAGTCAGTATCGCCGCAGCTTGCGGAATGGATCGTAGGTAGCTGGGAGGCGGGGAGACAAACATCCTTGACCTCGGCACCGGAGGCATCCCTGGTGATCATAGTCAGCATCGCTCCTTCCAAGTTCGAGTATGCCACCGAGGCAGAGAAAGCCGAATTTTACTCACATAAGGTTGACCTTCTTGTGCTCGGCGGGCTGTTCCGACGGAGGAGCCATCGTGACGTTTGGTGTGTTTGACGGATTCGGATCGTATGCGGCTGTTGAGGTGAAGGTGGGAAGGTGGGATCGTCAGCGGTGTGGGGGAGAAGCTGTCAATACGTGTGTTGTCCGCAAATGGGTTCAACACAGGAAGGAAGGGACTGATGGGAATGGTTTATATCCCCTTGCGTGTGTGGTAATGGAGAAAGGGTAGTCGTGGATCACGGAGATAAAGGTGGAAGGTAGATGGAAGCTTTGGTTTCGGAGAACCAGGTGCACGTAAAGGCCAGCAGCAATGGTGACGGGAGGCGGCAATCGCTGGGAAGTGGTCCCTGGCGACCAATAAAATCATAGAGTGGGGCGGATTAAGTGGTCTCCGGTGGCTTCGGCGGCTTAGATAATGGAGGTATCCAGGCTCTGTATCTGGCCCAAGCTCTATGATTCAGGTGTCGTCAGGGCAGTGGAAAGTGTTGGAAGCTTCCACTCTTGCTTGGTTGCTGACCTTGAGGGACCCGTAGGCAGACAGGCACTCACGCACTCCAGGTGTCCAAGCACAGCAGACACCACGGCCACGACGCCAGCCTGCAGCCTAGGCAGGTAGGTACATGCCAATCATGCCTACCCATCCGGCATGGATGCCCCACATCGACTCACTGCTTTCCCGTACCTTGCGCTTATCGTCTTTTTGCATTAGTGAGCTTTATCGATATGGCAATTTGCACACCTCTGCCTCACCGAGATCACATTTCGAAGGGTCCCCTCGACATAGTCCCCTTCTGGTCTTCTTGCCAAAGTCGCCTCTGCTCCGAAACTTCAGACTTGTGGTTCCTTACATTGATACTACGGCAACCATGTTTTAGCGCGGCGGCGAAGAAAGAGAGCAGAGGGCGGACGGAAGTACCTAGCGAACGACTTCTTTGTTTATTCCGCGACAAATCGACCAAAGGAGCGGCGGATCCGACAAGACGCCGCAGTCTTATCCCAGCTCAGACGAAGGAAAAAATTTCAAGCCATACACGTTAACCAGCAACTCAACGGAGGCGACTGTTGGTTGATGCATGCGGCGGCAAACGAGCGACAACCGGCTTATTGCCTGATGCAAACAAAACGGACCATTACACCCGCCATACCTGTTCCAGCCCCAGAACGAACGGGTCCCCCCTGGAGGCGAGTCATCGCCGGTTGCTCACTCCCCGAAATTCCTGAGCAACCACACCCATCGCCGCAGTCGCCGCCCCAATTTACGCAGACAACTTGCGACCGTTTATCCTCTTCGGTGGGCTAGCTGCAGGCCACGTTGCCACTTTTTGCCGCCAGCCTAGGTACCTCGGGGCTGTCGGCGCAGATGCGTGGTCGAATGCCGGAAGAGCGTCGCGCGCCGAGTGCATGGTCGGCGTACGGTTGATGTGGCTATCTAGCAGTCCGATCCCGAAAATGCCCACTCCGGAGCGGGGGCCGCCGGCGGCAATTCGCTCCGCGTTGTTGACGGTGTGCAGGAACGATTCCTGCAGCCAGGTATTGGTCGGGCAACTGTCGCTGCGGTGGGCTAGGCTGTGGTCGTGGCTGGACGTATCCGTCTGTCTGTTCGTCATTGTCAGCACCGTATGTGTATGGCATATTCCTGTGGTGGGAGCTCTTGGACAAGAAGTCGTACTTACCCGTGAGACTGCGCAGCATCGGAGCCCACCTCGACCACGTCGGACCTGAAGCTCATCTGAAGTTGGTTTGCCGCCAGTCTCGTGACTTGGCGGGCCGGTCCGAGATGCTTTTCGACAACCGCGTTGGTTACGGTCGTTCGTCTGTTCGTTGTTCTAGAAGAATGCGACTACTAATAGTGGCTGCAGGTGATGCGTGCTTGGAAGTGCTCAGGAGAGACTGGCAGGAGCTATTCTCGCGCTTGAGCCTTCAAGAAGGAATGCCACGCCGGTGCTGCATCCAGCCTTAGACATGCGACGGCCACGATATCTTATACAACTCTCATAATACGACATGGGAATTGATTCTTTGCAGCGGTCCGGAGCCCTGCCCGTTGGCCTCCCGCCAATGCCTCTCTTCCGGTGTCCAAACCGCCGGTACGGACAAGCTAAGACACGGCTGGGTAGAGAAGCACGCTGCCTGCAAGATCGCTCGCGTGTGGTTCACCAGCCCGCTGCATGTTTGGGGGCCATGTATTGGCTGTGCATGCCGTAGCACTGCAATGTGGCACACCCCCACACACCATCTCGTCTCAGCAGCCCAGCCTTATGATGATGAGAAAGAAGCTTGTCTACCCGCTGAGCCAGTCATTGGATCGAGTACTGCTTTTGCTTCTCTCTAATGATGTTTCCTCGCTCATTGTCTGTTTCCTCGCTCATTGCCTGTTTCCTCGACACAAACCTGACACTGACCTACACTCCTGTGTAAGTGGTTCAAGAGAGTCCAGAGTCAACAGACTCAAACACCACGGCTAAACTCTTGGGCTTCTCCAATTGACACAGCAAACCATGCTAGAAATTCGTTTCGAAACTTGGGTCTGAATCTGGTAAGCTAGCAGGGGCACTCGCACCATAGTGACGATATGGCACATATCTCCCCAGCAGGCTGGCGAGCCCACAGCCTCCACCAGCATCGTCCGACTTACACCATGAACCCTTCCACCACCGGCGCATCCTCGTCCACCTCCAGCGCTTAACGCTGCTATCTTGACCAGAGATGTGCTTCTGCCCTTCTACTCAGCCACTTCCTTCCCATCTTCCAGACGTTCTAGCAAGCGGTCCCCCGTCATCGCGCCTGCTGCCCACACCTCTGCGCCTCCAGGCCGCAGCGGTTCCGCCGAGATCTTGAAGCCTCTGCCGACTCCCGGGCACACACATTCTACACCAGACGAGACGGGCAGAAAAAAAAAAAAAAAAAAAGACCGACAGACTCGACCTCCCGACCTTCCCAGAAAATATGGCTTTTAAAGTGGGGCATGTAGATGTACAAGTCGAAGGTGAGAATATTTTGACCAAACATCACTGGTCATACTAGATTATATGGGCAAAAATGAAAAGAACAATGAGCAGCTCGAGGAATTATGTAGCATCACTAATTGAAATCCGACTGAACCCAGGCCACCCACCCCTAGACGATCTTCACAGCAAGTGTGCTCATTGTTGGAGACATTCCAGACACAAACGGGGGTATGAACCTTTCCCGCCAGGAGATCTGAGAATTTGGGATACCGCGCTTTTGATTTCATCGCCTTGGCATCTCCCCTCCCCCCTCCCCCCTCAAAGCCTCCAGTGTGAACACTCGCGTCTTGAATTGATGCAGCCTTACCTTGGCAATCTCCCATACGAACGCCGTCACAACTCCGCCAACCCGGAAACGGCACCGGACCGTGAGACGCGCATCATGACAGCATACCATCAAAGCCATGTTCCTCCCTCATTGACAGCCTGATCACATTACCCTCGCTTAAAAAAAACCGTCCCAGAAAATAATCGTGATCCATCCCTCTTCTTCTCCTCCCACACAGCAACACAGCCTGATATCACCCAGGGATTGTCCAGATAAGCCCCACGTTCTCTCACACCTCCGGCCGGCCCCCACCCCCGCCAATGTCCGCAGCAAGCAAGCAGAGCTCGCTCAGCTCCATGAGCCGTCAGCACTAACCCGCCCGCTATCGATGCTATGCCCTGCAGCCCTTTTCGGCCCCCAAAATAGCTGCCCTACACTAATGTCGCCTTACGCTTATTACCTCGACTACACAGGAAACATCGATCCGGAGGGAGGGAGGGTAACGTGACGGTGGGAGAACCCATGGCCCAGGCTAGGAAAGCTGGCTGCTCCCAGCCCCCAGGTTACCTCTGCTTGAATTTCAATGGGCATGCGATATTCAACGTTGCGTCTGAATTGCGGGACCTAGATGGGAGTTTTACCAGTTGTCGTCTGGGATCACTAAGGCTGCCACGCAGTATTGAATAGGTGTTTGAGTATCAGATATTCCAAATTAAGACCAATATTCACCTGGCTTGGATATGGCGAAGATGAAGGTGTGCCAAGAAAGAGACGTCTGGCACTAAGATGTGCGGGTTAAACAGTGATGCGCTGTAAGCCAGTTCACAGAATCACTTAGCATCACATACATTGCAGTGCAGGCTGATGCGTGTCGTCAGAGCACCAACAAGAGATGAGATGTAGTAAAGTAATAGTGTGATTGAAAGAAACCGGTTAATGTCGGTATCACGCGCTGCTAAGATATCATGCAAGGTCATTGTCGCCTTCAGGGATGCATGATTGATGAGCCCCAACTCCCTTTCCTTCATGTATGATGTCCTCCAAACCAAGGGCGGACGAAAACGCCCTAATAATGCAGTAACTTGAATGAAGAAGTGTCGCTTTTGTAGTTCCGTTCCCGAGGTAAACCAGCTTAACCTCTGCTCCTTTTGATTTCCACTTTCGTCGTCGAAAAGACCTTATCGCTTACTCCTGCGTCAAGATTGGCTGGTACCGCATTTGCAGCACCCATTTGTTGTCAAAGTCGATGCCTCTGCGGATCTTGGTCCCAGCTTTCTTCCAGACGGCAGCACCAAGACCCATGTCAGCAATGAACAGCTTCCAGTCGTTGTCCTCTGCCACGGCCCCTCCTACTTGGGTACTGATGGGATCCGATTCACCCGGGGCTATCGCCTCGAGTAACCCCTTCTTCGGTGCGCCCATAGCGACAACGTATCGGGGTTTGACATATAGACGGCCACCATCGATAATGCTGACCTTTCCAGTCGACGGGTCGATACCAGTTGGCACATCCACCGCAAGAACAAACGCTTCGTTGCGGTTGGCCCATTCAATCAGCTCGTAGACGGTGGCTTGGTCGCCAGTTCGCAATTCCTCAAACGAGATTGCCAAGCCCAAGAGGGCATCGATGATGAGGGTTACTGAGGCTGCCGGATTCGAAGATGTCTTTCGGAGCTGTTCAAACAACTCCAGCTTGGTGTGCACGCGACCTCCAAAGTTCTTGAAGATTCGGATTTGCTGCCGCATGTCTTCCAGCAAGTCCCGCTCGCGCTCGATGCCAACAACACAAACGAGGATATTAAGCCCCTTGTTTCTAAGATGCCGAGCCGCGGCAATCGCCCGGATACCCGATTTGTTGTTACCGGCTAGCATAACAACAGTGGCAGCTGCCACTGGATTCTCGGTCGGTGCATTAGCACCGCCTGTGCCGAGTCGTACCTGGATGGCCGGGTCTTCGAGCGCAGTCAAGGTGACTTCTGCTATGCCTCGCCCCGCGTTCTCCGTCATCATGTCTTCTGTCAGCCCAATCTCATTTGCAGCTATGTTCTCAAGATTGAGCATCTGTAGAGCGGAGACGGTTTCCAGACGTCGGTTCGATGGCAAGAGGTAGAAGCCGGGCTGGGACCCATGCTGCAGAGTGTTAGTACTAAGAATGCTTTGTGAACTATTCTGACGAAGCAACGCTTGGGGCTGTCTGTTCAGACGTACGCTGGAGTTCATGCGATTCAGGGGCTGGCTAGTAAGCTGTGCGCTCGCCTTGCGAGATTGCGACCTCCTTGCAGCCCCTGGCTTGCTCTCTGCCCTCCGACTACCCTGAGCGCTTCGGACCTCGCGCCCGCTCAACCGATCGCCTCCGTTAACGGCGTCATCAGCCTCGCTGTTCCAGAAATCCTGGTTCGCTTTTGAGCTTGAGGAAGGCATGTCGAGCACGTTTTCTGTGTAGTGGAGATTCTTGCCGCCTGCGGTTCCGGGCTTAGGTTTGCGATTGTGCGATACCAGTCTGTCGGCCTCGTCCACTTGATCCTCCTTTCGCATCTGATCGAAAATGGTGCGCTTGTCGAACTTCGCCAAACTGCCCTCGAAGTCGAATTCCGCCATTTCCTCGGTGACGTCTTCGGATGCCCAGCCATTTTCGGGGAGGTCTTTCTTGCCTTTGATTCCGCGCTTGAGTGAATTGAAGGGTTGGAATGAGGGCGAGCTCTGCAGGATGGGCGTCTGTCTCCAGCCCTTGCCACGATTGGCGGGATTGCCACGGGACGGCGTGCTTTCCTGCGCATTCTCCTCGGCAGTGCCGTTCCTTGGGGCCTTTGCCTTCTCACGGCGCCTGTTCTTCTTCTTTGGTTGCGACGGACCCGATGCCTCGTGCGCATCCTGCACGACAGAAGCTCCAGCGGCGTAATGTCTTGCAGCAGTGGGTGTCGGCTCATCCACGTCCAACTCCTGCAAAGACTCGCTGAGGCCGATGTTCACCCCATCTTTTCTCGATGCCGTTGCCAGATGGACGGGAGGCAGAACCCCAGGTTGTCCTGGCTGAGGGTCTCTTGCAATGCCCACGCTTGGTTGGGGTATCACCTCAGGAAGGATTTGACTGTCGCTGCCGCTTATAATACCAGAGCCGGGCCGCTTCCCCATACTAAGGATTGCGGGATCAGCGAAGGCAGGTTGCGCAGGCTGGGTGACGACAGGCGCTGGAACAGGACTTATGCCCGGCGCGGTAAAGGTGTTGGGCGCGATTTCTTCCTTGTACTCGGACAGCTCGAGTATGTTGGCCGCATCGATCAATATTCTGGGGATCCAATGGTTTGTGCCCATGGTGAAGACTGCGAAGGCGGGTGTTAGCATGATGGCTCCTTGGGAGTGAAGAGGGTTGGCAGCTTGCCGTTAGCCAGAGTCAAACTGGCGCCAGGTTCAATCTCGCTGACTGTGCCCTTGAGCATGGTGCCTTCAGGCTGG